CATGCTGTGTTGTTATGCAAGAAGCTGCATACAATGGCAGAGCCCTGCAAAGTTGGGCCAGAACATTGCCCTGAGGAGATGCAGTCATTCATGCGGAAGTGCATCTCCACTGATCCATCCAAGCGGCCAACTATGGAGGAGATCAGCCAGTATTTGCAACAACTGCCACTGGTTTGGATTCCTCCTTCTCTGTCTGCAGATGAACCACTTCAGGCGAGACAGAAGAACAGGGGGAGAGATGGCCCAAAATCAGTTAGTGCCAAAGGGATCGCTGAGCAGCTTGATATATCAGATGTACAGCGCGATACAAAATTGCGGAGCAACTGGGAACGCAGTGTGCACAAGCTCCTCACTTGGCTGAATAAGGTCATTGATATCGTCATTATGTTTGAGGATGCAGGACCAGGATGTGTGGTTTTCCCAATGCAGGTGTGCGTTTTAATCCAGTAATTGATTGTCCTCTGCTGTTTAGTCATCTGTGGTGCAATGGCATCCCTATTACATTATTTGGATGAGCTCGGTGGATTTTCGTTCGACTGCTGAAATGCTCAACAATATTGCCATGGTATTGCTGCTTGCTGAATTTGTCTTGTAATGGGCTTGTGCTTTGTTCAAGCTCATCAGTTTAAGAGCTGCATCTCTGCCTGAACAGATTGAATTCCCTGATGGGCATTCTGCAGAGTTGTTTAAGCAGCAAATCCGCACAGGCAGCAACTTGCTATTCCAAGCAGACCTGAATCTCATTGCATATCAACCAAGGTTGGAGTTGGGATTCCGCGATGAGCTTTACGTTGCCGATTGCCAGGTATGCACAAACTTTGAATTATCATTCAGTAATGCTTCTGATTCATGCCTTCATTCTCTGCTATAATATGCCCTCATCTGTGTAGATCATAGGATTATGATATTTTTGCTGTGATGCATCATTAGCTTTTGATCCATTCGTGATACATGCTGTGTCCACCTTTGAAACTGACTGTATATTTGTTGCATTTGTTTGCAAACTTTCTTTCCATTCTTGGCTTGGAGGCAAATCTATGTGTTGCATTTTGTTCCCGGACTGACAGTCTTGTTGATTTCTACATAGCAAGTACTTTCATCCTGAGCTTGCTGTTCATCCTGTTCTAGTGACAGTGCTGTTGCTGTTCGAATTGTAACAATCATGTGATGAAATCTTATGGAATTCCACCTCAGGTTGATGAGCTGGAGAGTGAGGTGCACAGGATCATCAGAGAGTGTTCCGAGGTGGTCGATGTGAAGTACAGTTGCCAGATGATGCACTTTCTTCAAACTGAGATTGGGCGAATGGCAGGGTGTTCACTCAAATTGCCCGATGGTGGAGCGGAACTGAACTGGAAAGAGGATGCTGCGGTTGTGTTGCATTATCTAAGGTTTGCCCTCTCACTGCTGAAGCAACACACTTTTGTTGATCTCAACAATCTGCAAAAGACCACTGATACCAGAATGGCTATCAAACGAGTTCTGGGGCACACCGCTTCTTTTGTATCCAAATGGGGGTTCCATGAAACTGTGCACGTCCAAGCTGCGGTTGGCGCAGAGCTTCTGCAGCATGACAGGGAGATCATGGAAAAGTGCCTTGGTTATTTATTTGAAGGCACATCCTGCAGCTTTGAGGAGTTTGCCACAACACATAGACAAGAGTGGGAGGAGTTGAAGCAGAGCTTTTCTGAAGAAAGAAGGAAACTGGAAGTGATCGCCAAAGAGGAGATCAAGTGGCTGAGGTTTGTTGATGAAGATGTGCACCATGCTGAATGGAGGAATGCTAAAGTTGCAGTCAAACAGGTGATTCCAGTGAGCCAGAACGTGATGAATCTTGAAGACTATGCGAAGTTCTACACATGGATGCTCAACCGCACCATCCTGGACCCAGAGCATGTGGTGAGGTTGCATGGAGTTGTCAGATCTGGTGCAGTGCTGATGGAGTTGGCTGATGGCAACCTCGTTGACTGGTGTGCCTCCCAGCCAAGAACATCTGGAGAAGAAGGTGATGTTCGCATGAAAGTCGGTGTTTTGCTCCAGGCTGCAAGAGCACTCCGTGCTGTCCACCACTTGGGCATAATTTATGGAGATCTGAAAAGCAGCAAATTTCTGGTATTCACAAAAGGTGGAAGCGATGCCACAGTGAAGATTTCTCAGCTGAAACTGTCAGCAGAGCCCTGGGAACAGGAAGCATGGCCCAACTGGACTGGACGTTGGACTGCAAAGGAGCTGTATGAAGGCAGCCCACCCAGCTTAGCCTCTGACGTGTTCAGCTTCGGGGTGATCATGTACGAGGTCATGATAGAGGAGCTGCCATATGGGCAAGAAGCAATGGAAGCAGAAATAATGGACAAGAAGTTTAAGGGTTTGGAACCATTGCCAGTCCCTTGCAGCTCAGAGCAAGCTTGGCCAAATGGACTTCTGGAGCTGATGAAGACGTGTTGCTCTTTGGAGCCAGAGCAGAGACCCTCCATGGTATCAGTATGCAGTTCGCTTGAGGCCCTTTACCTGTTTGCTGGCAAAAAACAGGTGAGATGGCACAGATGGTTTGCTTGGTCTGCTGGTGCGTGACATCTTGTGTGCAGATTCTTGTTTTTGACCCATGTTCAAAAGCCTCCAGGTAGCTTGGTCTGAGTTGACCAGTTTGCAACTGCCAAACTCTTTTGCACTGTTGTATTCATACAGACCAGAATTTCAACCAGCTTGTCAATTTTTGATTTCTGTATTGGCACTGAGGTGAATCACGAAAGTGCTGCGATGTCACAACCTGTAATGAATGTGTTAGACATCTAACTTGCAATAAGTGTGAGTGCTCTGCCTTTGACCTGCTCATTCCATCCAGGCATTTGTGTCACAGATGCCAATGCAGTGCTGTTAGCTTTGAGACACATCTCCTAGCATTCAAACAAGACCTCAGGTGTTGCCTGTTGCTGACATTATAGGCATTTGTTGTTGCTGCTGAGCAAATGAACATGCCACCAATGGCATTCTCAAGTTGCTGGGTGCAAGATGCTGCATTCAACTTGAACCTTTGAAACATACCTCTATCTGGCCGAAATTTGCATACGAATCAGGCATCAAGGGCTCCACCAGTTGCAGAAGATGTTTTCTGGAAAAGAATGTCATGCAGGGTACGGGTTTAACCAGAACTTGTCTTTTGAAATCCAGATGTTGAGACCAGGCTTCCAAAGATGCAAAGTGCCCTTTGTGTTTTACCCTGTATGTCCCATGAATATCCACAATTATTTTGGCTGCGGTGGAAATGATTGCTGTGCTCAGCAGCGCACAAGTAGCTTGGACCGAGCAACTCTTGATAAGCTTGATTCAGCCCCAGAACCTGGTTGCAAATCAGCAGTTTGGAATGCAATCAGGTTGGGGTTTGGGGGAAACGTTGCTGGTGAAAATGCGAGGTATTGGCATCAACAATCGAAGGGTTCATCTTTTAATCTATGCTATTTTTGGTTTGTCAATGATGGCCCTGCATCAAAACAGTAAATCTTCATTGAAGTGAATGAGTAGACATGTGACGTTGGTTTCTTTCTGAAAGCAATTGAACCACATCAATGCCATGTTGTGGAAACTCGTTTGTCTTTGTTCCCCAGAGTGCAAAACTTATCTGCAGTTTGTAACCTTGTTGGTGCTGTTGTATGGTGTTCAATGTTATTGAATCAAAAACGGCGTGGAACTAGATTCAGTTTGTGAGGTGTAAGATTGAGCAGCATTTTGTGCAAGAACAGTCTGATGCTAGACCCAACCAAAGTGCCAGACACAGTTAAGCATTGCATTTTTTTTGCCAATCTCACTTTGGTTATTTTTAATGGGCTGAATACATGCCTAATGGTTTGTAAGACACTGTTTTCCGCAGCCAACGATGACGCGGGTGGCTCAGGTTGCATTGAAAACCCCTGTGCGCCGATCCACTGGTCGAGGGGACTTGTTTCACCTGACTGTCCGCAGCCTGGCCCATACGGACAAGACCTTCAGGGTCCGCAAGACGGACACCATCTACGATATCAAATGGAAGTTACAAAACCTGACAGGTGTGTGCCTCGAAATAATGCCACTGCCTGCACCAGATCGGTGACTGCTTGCACCAAGTCACGTGCACACTTTGTCCTAACCTCAGTTTTGGGGTTTAGGTTTAGTTTCAGGGTGAGTTTTAGGGTTAGGACAGGTTTAGGCTTAGGTTTTAGGGTTTAGGTTTTAGGTTAGGTCGGAGTTGGACATGATGTGCACGTGTCTTGGTGCAAGCAGTCACCGATTTGGTGCAGCCAGTAATTTTATGCCGTGTGCCTCCCTCACCCCCGACCCGGTGCTCGCCCACATCTTCGACGCCCGCCACGTGCGCGTGGCCGCCGGGAGCGGGTGTCGCCGACGGTGACGACTCTCGCGGCCATCACGGACACAGTCGACAGTCCGAGCGTCACCCTGCCCTCACGGGGCGATTGCCGCTTGGGGCGATTGCCGCTTGGGGCGATTGCCGCTTGGGGCGGCCCCCACACGCGTGCCCCAGTGGGGCGATTCCCCGTTTGAACGCGCCCCCGCCTTCCCGAAAGCCGTTGGCGTGTTAGAAAGGCCACGTGTCGAACACACCGGCCGCAGCCCCCTCTTCGGCAGCCTCATAGGCGCCGAGTCCGCTTTCGCGCCGCCTTCCTCCACGCAAGCAGGTCCCAACTATCCCCCGCCGCCCCAAACGGCCCCAAATCCACCTCGTCGATCGTTTTCTTGTCCGTTTTCGTCTTGGCGTCGGTTCGTGGCCTTCGCCATTGTTTGACTCAGCACCCTTCGTCGGTTTGACTCGTGGGCTGCCGGCAGGCTTGAGGACCTGGGATCAGCAGCTGTACTACACGCCCCCCGGCACCCACGCGCGGCGCATCCCGCTGGGCATCGGCGGCTGGCGCGTGGACGTCGGCGATCGAATCACCCTGGGCAACCCGCCCAAGCCCGGCGCCACATGGGTGGGGATAATTGGCGCAAGACCGAAGCCGGCGGCCGACGGGATGCCCACGCACCACGCGGACGCGATCCAGTTCGCCGCGTCCCCCACGGACAACATCTTCGACCTGATGGACCAGCATGGCTACGTGCCGCCCAAGTGGCTGAGGCGCACCGTGGAGCCCGGCTGGGAGGGCGTGGATATCCCGGCGTGCCTCAAAGTAACGCCGGTGGTGGCAACGACGAAGAAGGTGAAGGTGCTGCCTGCGGGCGCCGCTGCGAGTTGTGGTGCGGACGGGGGCGATTTAGGGCTGCCCGTGGACGGCTCCACGTTCGTGGAGTTCTACAACGACGTCGTGGACGCAATCAAAGGGGTGGAGCGGGAGGAAAAGATGACCAAGACGAGGCTGGTGGGCAGGGCGGGGGACAGAATTGAGTTCCCGAGCGGTTTGGTGGTGGAATTCTGGGTGGCGAGGCGCATGGAGGAGCTGGTGGGCTACCACGGGCGGTTTCCTTTGCTGAGGGTGCAGGACTATAAGGGGAGCGTGCCCAGGGCGTGGAGGCGGCGCGGGGGGATGTTCTTCGGGATGCTCCGAAGGGAGAGGATGCGCATTTGCCTGGAGGCGGACGCCCGGAGGCCTGTGGCGGTCAAGGTGAGGGAGCCAGGGGCGCTTGGGCGCTCTGGCACTTTGGCTTGTGCCCAGGGATTGTGTGCACAAGGATGTGTTGCAGTCCCACAACAGCACCGCATACAAAGTAGCACCCCCATCCTGGGAGCACAGGGTCGTCGTCCACTCTGCAGTGCTGTTGGTCCACCGATGTCAACTTTGATATTGTTGAGAAACAAACAGTTGTGGCACATCCAGGCCTAAGAGCTTTGAGACCCTGCTGTGAGCATGCAGCAGGCTTTTCAGCAATCCGTGCAGTGTTTGTCCACGAATCTGTGTGTGTGTGGGGAGAAGCAATCAAGGGTACATTATGTGAAAGCCCAACAGAACAGTGTTCCACTGTTTGTTTATTTCGAAAATATCAGTCCTTATATGTGCCCCGGAACATCATTATGTCGTTTTTTGTTTCATAGCTGTGTCGATGTAACCTGCAGGCAGCTGGTCTATTTGTCTCCAGCGACAATGGGCTGTGCACAAGTAGATGATGCGTTGAAGTTTACATACATGGTCTGGATGGCAGTGCTGTGATGGCAAGGTGTTTGTGGTTGGGTGCTGTTCCGATTGCACACAGAGAGCTCCATATGATCTGTTCAACATGGCAGACAAGCTCGCAGCCACTGAGGTTGACAATTCTGACTGCAGCGGTCCCTTTTTGTGTCCATGACAGTCTTGAGCACATTTGACAGGTGGCCCTTGGAGGTGTCAACGTAATAACAGGGCAGCCCTGGGAGGAAGGTCTGAGCAACAAAACGCATAATTACATCGTCTGCGATCCATTCAGCTACATCGATGGGTTTGCAACGGGTGAGGGTGGCATTCGCCACTTCAAAGCCATGAAAACCATGAAGAAGTACAGCTTGAATAGCGAGCTCTTGAAGGATATCGGCAGCGCGGCGATCCGGCTGGAGGCATATCCGGTGATGCGCACTGACGTATCGGTCTCCAGCGATCACCTGAGGCCATTTGAGAGTCCCATCGACATGACCCAAACCCCTGCTCAGGCTGGTCTGATTCCAGGGGACGTGTTCTACATGACGTCCCACGAGTTTGGAATGCGCCCATCTACCCTTGTGGACTTTGTGGACACCTGTGACTATCTGCTCTTGGAGGACGCCAGCCAGATGGACCGCTGCATGCGCCTGGCAGACTATGGGATAGACAGGGATTGTGTCATCGAGTTGATAATAAAGAGGCACTGCAGCAACGAGTCGAATGTGGGCTTTTACAGACCGCGAACGATGAAGCGTGTGCAGCAGCAGTTCAGGGATAGCGTGGGGCTGGCCTTTTGGGACACCCGACACCCGGAGTGCGCTTTTGTGTCCATGCTAAACACAATACAGTACAAGGCGATTGCTGGCCGGGACCTCCCCCAATCACGCCTGGCTGGGCCAAAGCGCTTTGGGCACCGTCATTTTGACGTGCTGGACGAGGTTTTGCTGACTGATGCCGCGCTAGCCCAGTTTCGGGCAGAGTTGGAGGCGGATGAGGTGCTAGAGTGCGTGGCAGACGTGAAGGAGGTGGACGGGCCGTTGCTTGAGCGGAATCTGTGCAATCGGTGTGCGGACCGTGCGTGCTGCAACGAGCTGTTACCCTGTCGCCACAAGCTGTGCGCCAAGTGCACGGGAGCGCTGACACAAGGGAATGTGCTGTGCCCAATATGCCTGCAGAACGTGGACGATGTGAGGACGTGGTCGGAGACATTCACCAAGGCGGACTACATCATGCAACGCGAAGCGAACGCTGTAGTATGTCTGCACATGAACTAGCCTTGGGAAATATCAGAGCGAATGGAAAGAAAGAGTTAAAGGAAATTTAGGTAGATAATGTGATGCTGTGGAAAACAGCGGGCTGTGGGAAACCACGAAAGGTGGGCAAAGCAGAGCCAGACCTTTTCTTGGTTGGCGAATGGCATTGTGCGTTTTTGTGCGTCAGAGGAAATTGTAAATTCCCCATGGGTAGATCATACAATGGCGCATGGGCTCCCAAGCAAGCACAAAGCGCCCCCTGCTCTGTTTCGCAGCACTATAGGTGCCACAGTCTCCAAGAATGAAATAGAAATGATGATGCATGTGCCAATGCTGCTAATGTGTGCTCCGAGGCGTCTGCAAGAAAAAAATCGTCAACAGTTTGCTTTTTGCTGCAGCACAGGAACGCAGCACGTCGTCCATCAACAATTAAATGAGCAAACTGTGCATAATGTGGGTCAACTTGATACTGCCAAGATATGCCGAGAGTCACGAGAAGCTGCAGCATGCAGTGAGCGACCCTGTCCTATCAAAATATGTGGGCCCTTGTCTTGTGTGCAGCGCCATAGGGCCATTAATATCACCTCTGTACAGAATATCTCAAAAGCCATGTCCGATCTCCAGTTTGCACAAACGGGGTTCAAAACGTGTGAGTCAGAAAAATTGACTGAAACAACTTCGAAGCGCCATATTACGAGCTACCCATAGGGCCCTAAAACGTTCCAAATGACGTTGCCCTTTTGGCGATACGCAGAGGGGCTAAAATGCATTTCTTGCATTTTGTCGGGCAATGGATGGGGTACAGTATGCTTGCGTTGCCCTTTTGTGAACGGCAAGTCGTTCAAAGCCAGTACATTGGAAACCCGGTTCAGCATACTGGAAGAGATGGTACGCAAAATGCATGAAAGTAATGATGTCGAAACTCATGAAAGCATGTAGTGGTACCTATTTGTTGTCTACAACAAGGTTCCTCATCGATTTGGAGAAATGGGTTGGGACATACCGGAAAAATGCCCAACACTGCGCGGAATTGAGGGCCTGCATGGAATCGGACAGGGGAAGCTTTTATAAGGTTGTGAATGTCATATTGTATGGCGATGACTAATGCAATCAAAATCCACGTCAACCTAGAATCAACGAAGAAATTCAAATATGGTGATGGGAGTGACCAATTGAGTTGATCTTGCAAAGGTATAGCAAGAATTGGAGATCGGGCCAGGCTTTCGAGACGGTAAAATGAAATCGAGCAAAAAAAACAATCGGAATGGAATGGAAAGCCATGAGTATGCGTGAGAACAGCAAAAGCGCCCGCCGGAGGCGTCCAAGGGACGAAAAGAAAACTTGATACTGTTCACCACAGCAGAACATGACTGTCAAGTTGCGCATCGTCCACCAACTAACACATGTCATTGTTGAGTGCGCGTGTGCGTGCTGCCCTCCTGCCACTTCAGCTTGGCAAGTGTCAATCTCTCTAGGAAGAAAGCCAGAAGCACATTGCCTCGTCGTTCTGATCCAAGATGATGTAGTGGAGAGCCCGAGATTAATCTGAAGCACTTGCGTCTGCATGATCTGGAGGCACTGTCAACGCATTTGAAGCACCGGGCCATGGCCACACCTTGGTTCTGTAACTTTCATGTGCGCAGTCTCATCTACCCTTTCGCCTTATCTAACAGTGCCTAACACTCAAGAATGGTGTTGCAGAAAGCGCAATAAACACCGCTTGTTGGCGATACGATTCCAGTATCAGATCCAACTGTGCAACCGAACTGACAACCGTATCGCCACCAATCCGCTCGAGCACGGAGCTCCGCACCATGGTTGCTGTGGCTGTCCTTGCTGCCAGCACAGGTGCTCATGCCCAAAAATGGAATTGTTGCAAGCAAGCGCGTCCTTGCAATTCAGTACCACCAATTTGGAAATAATAATCGATCAAATAGTGATGCAACTGTGGGTGTACACCCATATGTGCAGTAAACGTCGTCCCTGGATACGAATGTCAGAAGTTTGCACGAGTGGCGGAATGGGTGGATCATAAGCGTGTCACCCTTGCCGGGCGGATGTGTGCGAAGATATGCCCTGAGAAGTTGGCTTCTGTTGAATGTGCTGGTCAGCGTAACTTAGTAACTTCAGCAGAACGAACTGCTGGCAGAAAGCTTAACTCCTGCAAGTTTTGGTGTTGCCTGTGGAAAGCCTCACAGATTGCGTTTGTCGAGAACATGATAAAGCAGTGGCATCGCCTGTGCCTGGCCATATTCACAATCGATGAACTGCCTAATAGCCCATTGAGCTGCAAACAAGGCGTCGTTGTGAAGAGGCGTCAATCATGGACTGTGCGGCACATACGAGTGTTCGTTTTGGACAGTAGCCTTGTCCCCCGCCGCCCAAGTTTGCAAAGGCTTGTAAACTGCGCTAGCACAATAAAGTACATTTTAGACACCTTTGTGGCTTCATACGTGTCAGTAATGGTGTACTCATCTCAAAATTTTGAAGCCATGTTATAATACGAGGACTGCTGTTTTGTCCTGCTTGACACGCCCTTGGCATGCCCAGTTCTGATTTTGATAGTGGTAGTGTAGTGGTGCCATTCATGAAGAACTGTATCCCAGAAAGTTAAAAGTTTTAGAGCGTTAAGCGGTTTTTCTCGGCTGCCGATTGCGCATTTCTGCTGTTATAAAATGCATGCTGTTCAAGGCTCTCCCAGAACATCACTGGCAGCATGTTTTTGGTAGACACTGTGCCACTTATTCTTTTATCCACATACCGCCTCCCTGATCTTGGCAATGGCGATGTGGTGCCTTTTAATCGCCTTGCTGGCGATCCATAGCGCCACGGGGGTTGGACACGACCACAACACGGGGGCGTCTTTGTTGCTCATCAGATCAGATTTGTAGACGTACAAGGAGAAAACCAAGGAGCTGATGACGATTCTGTTTCACTAAAAGGAGCTCAGGGAAGCAATGAAAGAAGTGGTTCTCGAGTCAGAAAGCCGCTCGGTGGCGCCAAACTTTTTGGTGGAATATCCGCGTTCGCATGGCAGGGCAGCTAGGGCAGTTCTGTATGACAACGCTTTCTCCACCGATGAATGGTGAATCTTGATCAAGTCGCAAGGAGAGACGTGCCACAACGCGGTTTCAGTTTTTGGGGCCCAGTCTCACTCTTGGCGCAACACGAGCGATGGAAACTATGGTTGGAAGGGGCTGTCAACTGGGCGTCTTGGCATCTTTGGGTGCTTTGCAGAGGCTGTCACGGAATTCCTGCTGCTTTGTGTATACATGACTAGTACGCTGTTTTGCAACTCCCTGAGCACTGTTATCGCAGGAAGTTTTGTTGCAGCCGCTCTTCCGCTGATGGTGCTGGACATCCCGTGCGCGTAACTGGTGGTTCTTAACGCGCCACGTGGTTGTCCCAAATCCAGAAAGAAAGGGCATGGACGTCGAAGTTCATTCTATGAGGTAATTAAAAGCATTGAAGAGATGACTCCATTTAGGCGCCAGGCGTTGGGAGGACACTCACGCTAGCAGGAGGAATGATCTTGCTGGGGGCGATGTATATCACAGGACAGTCGAGGGTAAGATACGGGAAATCCTGAAAGTGTGCATATTAGCCCACGGGATGGAAGGAAGGCATTCTCGACGAACTTGATCCTTCTGTCCATGTGATCGTTTTCGGTCTCGTGCAGCGATCTTGCACGCCCACAGTCCTTAAGAAATATGAATTTCGTGACACGTGATTGGGCAAGAATGTAAATCAAAACTATTTCTAACAGCCGGCAGACAGTTGCAAAGACAGTTCCAAGAGGATTTCGACGGTTTGAGAAGGAATTGGCCATGCATGGTCTAGATGGGCAGCGGGAGTGGATCAAAATTGTCACGTTGATAGGGAATTGTTATGTTGAGAAATTTTCTGCGGCTGAAGCGGGACCATGTTGCATTTGCATATCCATTCAAAGCCATCCGAACATTTGGCTCTTGCCCAGGTGATTTTTGTACAGACATGTCAAGATGCAAGTGACGCCAATCTGATGTGGGCAATATCCTGCAGATGCAGACAGAAGTTGTACTTGGCTGCACAACTTCACAAAGAAAAAGAAAACTGTGCAATCCTACGCAAAAACACAGAACTGTATATTTATGCCATATTGATGCTGTTCAAAGCGAAGAACTGGGCGGCATTTGCCAACAATAATGTAATAAACGAATGAATAAGCGCGGCTGCAGCATTGGGGATTCGGTGGGTAATGGAAGCAGAAAGCTGAATCTGACAGCCAGATCGCGTGTCAACTCTTTCGATGGATGCAATTTTTTCTCAACTTTTCGCCAAGATCCATCACAGGGACCACCTGCTGAATGAACGTACGGTCGGCGAGCCAGGTCTAAGTGCTGTGCCCGTTCGTTGGGGCCGCAGATTGCTGTTGCCCCTCAATAATGATGAATTCCAATGTTGGCAGCTGCGTTTTTTTTTGATTGGCAGGGGTCACGGCATCAGTTGCTGCGGAGTTCGCTTGATGCCCGATCTGAAATATTTGACCTTGCTTTCTGCTGTACAACCACAGTACATTTGGTACTTACATTAATCGTCAGTGCCAAAAATTTTGCCAGGTTTGATGTTGTTTGGTGCACAGCGACAACGCATATGTTCGTATTCTGTACTATTTGGCAGAGTGAGCTCCCGTTGAAAGTGGTGCATTTCTGCCTTTATAGCAAATCAGCAATGCCGGTATACTTGACCTCACCCTACATTCCTGCATGGCAACCCATTACCAATTGTGAGACGAATCCATCGACGCTGCACACACCAGGCCTGGCGGACCCCATTTTCAAGGGCAACATTTTGCACCGTAGTATTAGAGAATTCGCCATACAGTGATTCGGCTGTGAGTCAGCCACAAATGTCGCGATTAAGCTCCCTTTCCATCCCACCTGCAGCCAACCTAGCTGTATGTCGAAAAATGTTCGTTTGCCATGATTCCCGCGGACTTCGAAGAAAACAGTTAGTGCGGAAGAATGTCCACCCAGACAACG